TAACACAGTAATCTCATAACAATCTTGCAACAATTCTTATGAGAGAAGCATCATTTTGCATATGAGGAAACTGCAGATGAGTTTCCCATGAGAGTAGTTTCCTTTGAGTTAAAATTCACATTACATAAAAGTCATCAATTTAAGTATCTTAAACTGTACAATTCAATGTTTCTTAGTGTATTTGCAATGTTGTGCAACCATTACTACTAATTCCAGAACATTCTCAACACCTCAAAAAGAAACCCCATGCCCTTTATCTGTCACCCCTCAATGTCCTCATTCCTCCCAGCCTAAACAAGCAGTAATCTCTCTGTCTCTATGTATTTGCCTATTCTAAACATTTCATACAAATGGAGTCATATATATGGTCTTTTGGGTTTGTTTTTTTTCTTTTCCACTTAGCATGTTTTCAAGGTTCAGCCATGTTGTAGCATGTTTCAGTACTTCATACCTTTTTTCAGTAACTGAACAATATTGCACTTTTGTTTGCCTATTCCTCAGCTGAGGGAGTGAGTTGTTTTTACTTTTTGGCTTTTATAAATAATGCTGGTAGGCACATTCATGTACAAGTCTTTGTTTGAACATCTGTTTCCAGTTTTCTTAGGTACACACTTACCAGTAGAAATGCTGGGTCACATGGTAATCTGTTTATCTTTCTGAGGAAAGGACAAACTGTTTTCCAAAGTGACTGTACCATTTTGCTTTCCTACCAGGAATGTCTTAAGTATTCCATTGCTCCACATCCTGACTGAAACGCGGAAGTGTCCATTAAAAAAAATTTAGCCACTCAAATAGATATCTCACTGTGGTTTTAATGTGCATTTCCCTAATGACTAGTGTTGTTGACCATCTTTCCATGTGATTATTGACAGTATGCATGTTAGGAGAAATATTCAAGCCTTTGCTCATTTTTAAGTTGCATTATCTTTTTGTTGTTGAGTTGTAAAAGTTTCCTTCTAAAATAAGTTTAAAAATATATGTTCAAAGAAAAACGCTAAGTAAACAACAGTGCAGTTGGGCAAAAATAGTAAAGGCAATGTACAACTCAGGGACTAGTTTGAGCAGCACTGGCTCAGATGTTAAGAGCAAGAATTCTGGAGTCACATCATCCAGGTTCAAATTTCAGCTCTGCCTCTAAAGTGCTATACGTGAACTTCCGGGCAAGATATTTAACCTCTTTGAGACTCAGTTTCCCAGGCTTTAAAAGAGGGGTGGCCCCTGGCACTTGAAAGAGCTGTTGAAACAAAAGAAATGACGTATGTGAAGCGCTTACTCAGTACTCTATAAAGTTAGCTATTACGACAGACGACGAGACCCGCGGCTCTCCAGGTTCAGCTTGCAGAGGATCCTGTCCCTAACCGCAAGAGCGGACCACCCAGTACTGGGCGCCACCATGCAGAGACCTTTACAGAAACATTCCTGCCACCACAGCTTTGCACGGGCTCCCGCCTCAAGCTCCGAACCGTTGTGATCCCGCCACCAGACTTCCGTTTCCGGGGCGCCGGGGCCACTTCCGGCGGCGTGACCCGAGCTCGCTGAAACGGCGGGGTCCCAGAGCCGGAAGGGTCTGCGCTGGCGGCCGGTAACCGGGCGGCGGGTGGGAGTGGCCGGGTGGGGCGCCGCTGACCCTCGGGAGGGAGGGGCAACCTTCGTCTTGCGACCCGGGCCGGCGACGGGCTTCCTTCAGCCGGATCCACGGCAGAGCCCTTCTCGCTCCCCATGTCTGGGCTTCACCTGCTCCCAGGAATTCCCGTTTTTAGGGCCCTGCGGGTGGAGTCGGAAAACGGGGGTTCCGTTTCAGCTTGCGCCACTGGTTGTCTCTCTGACCTTGGCAGGATATGTCCTTTCGTGGGCTTTGGCTGCCTTATTTAGAAGATGGGGGTCGTATCACAGTAATCGTGAGCTGTGTGTAATGGCAGGAATTGACTTTTATTTGTGTTAGACACTGTCGCCTTTACGGAACAAGTACAGTGTAGGTTCTCTGTGCTTACTTAAGTTGTTTTGAGTCGCAGAACCTTTGAAAATCTGGTGAGAGCTATTGATCTCCACCTCCCAGCTCTCTAGCGCCTCCCACACCCTGCCCCCTCGCAGTGCTCGGATGTAGGAAATTTGGCTTGCTGTTTCAAGATAGTTCACAGATGTCTCTTGATGCCCATCTATGGATCCCATAGCCTAGCCTGTCGGAGGCATTCAAATATTTCAGCTCACTGAATAGTAGATGTTCTGTTTGTCATTTTTTAACGCAAGAAAAACTATCCACTTCAAGGAGGGAGATAGACATCCTTAATTAGCAAGTTTTAATCATGGGCCTGGCAGTATCATGGGCCTGATAGACTCAGTTAAGTCTGTAAGCAGCTGTAGGAGAGACGCATTATTCAGTTCCCATTTTGCATATGAGGAAATTGAGGCATTGAGGAATAAACTTGTTTTCAGTCATTCAGCCTATGAATGGTGAGGGCAAGAATTCAAACCAATGTCTGAAATTCCAAAGCCCCATGTTCTTAACTGCTAGCTGAAAAAGGACTAGTTGCAGAAATGTTTTTGAATATGCTTTAGCAGCCACTGTTTTGGAATTAACTGTTGTAGTTACGTGATGGTTATTATCAAGATAGGTGATTCCAAACCAAACACTGCATGCCTTGGAAATACTCTTGTTTGTCTCTTTTTCTTCCACAGTATCTGTATTGCTGCTTTAATAATATATTTTATATCCTGCAGTTTGTTCCCATGTTATTCAGTCCTTTTATCTTTGGTAAATACTGTTTCATTTGTGTTGCCTTGTTCTGCCAGACCTCCAAAGCAGATGTTTTTAGTTATAGTTGAAATAAGAGGTAATAAAGTTTGGGCATTATTTCTTTTTCTTTTCTGTACTACTTTTAAAGGGACTACTCGGGATCTTGGAATCACTGCCAATATGTCTGATGTTGAAGAAACCACTAACCAACTCCTGGATGTGAACCTTCATGAGAACCAGAGGGCTATACAAGTGACAGAAAGTGGTCCCAGAAGTGAGTCCGAGCATCTCCATGTCACTGTTGGAGCCACTGTGCCTACTGGTTTTGAGCAAACAGCTGCAGATGAAGTGAGAGAGAAATTGGGGTCATCGTGCAGAATCAGCAAAGACCGGGGCAAGATATATTTTGACATTTCAGTGGAAAGTCTGGCTCAGGTTTGAATGAAGCAATATTTAAAATAGTTTTCTAAATAGGTCACTTTATGGTTACTTTCTAGCTTATAGACATCTCTGGAATCCTTTTTGCTTTTCTTTGCTCTGCCCCAAATGAGGTGACTTCAAAGTATTACTACATTTTCCATTAGGTGCTGATTTGTAAGTTTTACTAGTAGGTTTGCTATATTTTTTAGGAGTGATCTTAATATTTCCCAAGGATGAATTCACCAGAAAGAATCCTGTGTGACTTATGAAGAAATTCTTAGCATCTGCTACACATCTTGGAATTTATTTACTTTAGCATCTAGCTGAAGTTTAGACTTCAGTGGTAAAGCATAAAAGGAGAGATTTTTCTTTTTACCTTTATCAAAGAAATTCTTGCTCAAAAGTAATTAGGAATCACTAAAGGTGAGAAGTAAAGGTCAGCAAACTGCCATCCCACTAGAATAAAAGTTAAGCTGTGTCTCATTACCACATAGGCAACATGAGGGCATGGATTCTTGTCTGTTTTTTGTATGTTTGTTTTCTTGGTCAGTATCTCCCACACTTTTAGTGTTTGGCACATAGTAGACACCCAGTACATATTTATGGAATGAATTGGTCAGCAAGTATTTTTCATCCAGGGTTTTAGTTAATAACCTCAGCAGTTTTGTGAAGACAGGTTCTATCATTATGCTCAATAATCATTAGGCTTAGAAATAAATAATTTGCTAGTGATCACAGAGCTGGAGCTCAAAGCCTGTGCCCATTTTTTAAAGCTGTGTTGTTAACGACTGCATTATACAGTGTACCCTAGAGAGCCATGAGTGGGGTATAAAGCCCCACTTGACTGTCTTTGTCTTTCCCTTCTCTCCCAAACCCTTGTTGCCCACATAACACTTCAAGCTCCTGTCCTTCCATCTGTCCTTTTTCCTTTCCTCTAGGAGAATGTAAGCTGATGGGTAACCAAAAAGATGGGAGACTGGGGAGATGGGAAAAATTTTAAATACGAATTATAGATATTAGCTGCTTTAAAATCTTTGTATCTAATTTTTATATTTTAAATGTTGATAGTTTGTGTGCCTCAAAAGTTTTCTCAGAAATTTGTTTCTAACATTTTTTTCTCTCCCCAGGTTCATTGTTTGAGATCAGTTGATAACTTATTTGTGGTTGTTCAGGAATTTAAAGATTACCAGTTCAAAGAAACAAAGGTGAGCTGTCCCAAACATGATAGTTGATTTTCAGCCATCTTCCCAAAGAGATTATTTCGACTTTTCACATTCTGCGTATCATTTAGTATTACTGCTGCTTTTATAATGTAAAATACTGGGAAGATATTATATTATATTATATTATATATAAATATAATTATATATTGTATTTATGGAGGTAAAATACAGAGACTTGTTGACAATCCATCTCAAAAATTATTTTTAAAAATCATTACTCCAGAGGGTGGGGAATGGGTGAAATGGATGAAGGAGGTCAAAAGTTATAAACTTTCAGTTGTAAAGTATGTCCTAGGGATGTAATGTACAGCACGGTGACTAGTTAATAATACTGTATTTCATATTTGCAAGCTGCTAAGAGAGTAGATCTTAAAACTTCTCGTCACAAGAAAAATAACTTTTAACTATGTATGGTGAAGATGTTAACTAGACTTATTGCAGTGATTATTTTGCAATATATACAAAAACTGAATCCTTATGTGGTATACCTGAAACTAAGATAATATATGTTAATTATACCCCATTTTTTTAAAAAGGTGAAAAAATAGCAGAATAAATAAATATCAGTATTGAAAAACACAATTTATAAGAAGTAAAACAAATTGTTTGACTTTCTTGCAAAAGATATACACCTTAAATGAGCTTTGCTGATATATATGGTTTCAAAATAGAATTGGTTTCAGACTGTGAACGGAAGCACAAGTGACAGTTTGTGTTATGTCCAAATAACATTCCTTCACCATTCTGCTTCTGCCCTGCCTTCTTAACTTTGTTTTTTGAAATAAAGCCAAATAATATCTAAATACTCCTTCAGTTGTTAGGACAACAGTTTGTCCCCGACTTGTATTTAGCATCTGATTCCTAAATATTGAGATGCTGCCTAAGCTGAAGGCTGAAAATAGATCACAGTGAAGCTTTAGTATTTTTCCACATTGCTTTTTGGTCTGGTTTTCAGAGTCAAATGCTTGAAAACTTCTTTTTTCTATCAGTGTTATTGCCTATATTAGAAATAATCTGTTTTTTTAAAACTATGATGTGCTGCCTAATTCTCTAATTTTGATTTATTGGCAACAGGTTGATTTCCAAAACATTCAAAAACTAATCAAAGTGATATGAGCCCCCAACCTAGAAAAAATAAAACCAGACCTAAAGGAATTCAGACTGAAAATAAGATAATAATTTTATTAATTTAAAATGCAACTTTGAACACTGGTGCTCTAACCCTTCAGCCTTCTGATAGGCACTGCCAACCAAATGGTATCTACGAAACTAGTAAGTAACAGGCAGGCTGCTGACAATTTTTACTGTTAAGTATGTCAGAACTTTAATAGCCAATATTATACATGAAAAAATATTGACAGGTTGTTTTTTAAAACTATCTTAAATTTCCATCTTAAATTCTTGCCTCTAACCGACTAGAGTATTGTTAATATTTTCTTTAATGCCCATGTTTTTGCCTTCCTAAAGTTTGTATTGTTTTGAGTGCTTTTGGTCTCTCTAAGTGGAGGTGAATTTGATATGCAATGGTTCTCTAAGAGCCAGGTTTTCAGAGTTGCCTGATAAGTAACTGCAAAAGAGGTTGCTGGTGGAGTTCCCAAAAGAGGAGCAGCAAGGACTTTGGTAGATTTTCAAAGGGCAACTTCTTTTGTGTATGATGGTGAAAAATTGTTGAGTCCTTCACTTGATGGACTTAAAATGCAACATGCCTCAACTAAAATCCTGTTTAAAACATTTCCTTCTAGTTTTTATCCTATTGACCATCAGTTTTATTCTTTGTTGCATTATACTTTCTTATGTCTTATAAGCATCTGTTAGTTTAAGCATTTTAGTGGTTTCTCTTGTTTTTAAATATTCAGATGATATCGTGAATTTATTACCCTGTTTTTTTTTAAAGCTAACATCTGCAATTTATATGGTGTTTTTTTTTTAAACTAGTTAAATATACGTACTTAGAGCAAAATTGTAAAGATTGAAAGAACATACAGTGAAAAGTGTTCCTATATCCCCATTCAACGCATTTCCCTCTTTGGAGGCAACAGCTATTACCAATTTCTTGGATGTCCTTCTAGAGGTATTTTATGAATATGTGTATTTTATTTACATATTTACACAAGTGGAAGTATTCCTTACATACTATTCTGTGCTTTTTTTTTTTCCTCATGTATCTTGGAAATCATGCCAATATCATTGTTGGATCTGACTGCATCACAATATAATTGGTCGCATTTTAGGATATTAGGATTTTTCGCACACACCTATGTGGCCCATATATATCCTTATCCATATTCAATCTGAGGGGCATTTTTCTGTTTGATAAGTTTATTCCATTGATACTTATTGATATGACAGAAATGTTTGGTCTTGGTTCTGTCACATTTATGTTACATTCTGCTTTCTTTTTCAAAATTTATGTTATGTATTTTCCTGGCTTTTTCCACATGCATGTGTTTTAAAATATTTGGAAGGTTCGTTTTTGTTCTCTAGCTGTTACCTTTATAAATACAGCTGTTACCTTTATATTTACACCATAGTTTTTGAACCCCTACTAAAAGCAGTGATGAAATTGGCATATATTCTACATCTCTCCACCTTCCCTTTCACCTTCTTTTTAATTTTTTTAACTTTTAAAAAAAATTTTTTGCAGTGGGGAGGTAATTAGGTTTACTTATTTTGTTTTTCAGTGGAGGTACTGGGGATAGAACCCAGGACCTCGTGCATACTAAGCACGCAGTCTACCACTTGAGCTATACCCTCCCCCCACCTTCCAGTTTTATTATTTTTCTTAGTGTTGACCCCTATGCCTTTAAATCCTTTAAATATAGTTCTTTAAAAATCAGCTTTACGTTCTATCTTTTGACCCCAAGGTATAAGAGAAGAGGGTATCAGCATGCTAAATTACTTTCTACTTTTTATTACCTCTCCCCTTCAACTATATGCCAGTTTGTAACATTTACGTTTTGCTTTGTAGGCATAACCCCTGTATTTGTTTTCATTTTAGTCCTACAGTTAAACTGATGATAGGCACACCGCCTGTCCTTTTGTTACAGTTTGTATCTCTTGAATGGCATGAGTTCATAAATGTTTGTCTTTCACCTTTGTATTTGATTCATAGTTCAAGTTTAAAATTTGGAGTCACGTTTTCCTTCCTTAAGAATATCATAGGCAGTGTTCATTCTTTTCCAGCATGAAATGTTGCCATGGAAAATTCTGAAGGCATCCTGTTATTTTTTCCCCCGTATTTGTTGCTTTCTTCCAATTTTTGCTTGATGCCTAGATGATTTTTTTTTTTAATATTTGAAGTCCAATAAGTTCACCAGGATTTGCCTCCTTGTTGATAATTCTTGGTTGAGACATGTCAGTCTATAGAGAAATTCATATTCCCTTATATTTCTTGAAAGTTTTGAGTTAACTTTTTAAAAAATAATTTTAAACTAGATTTTTAAAATCCCTTCTTCAGGTATAAACCAGTTATACATATGTAAGATCTCTTTAAACTATCTTTCATGTTTTATCATTTTCTCTCTAAACTTGTGACAGTTTTTGCTTATTTTTATTGTATTTGCTTTGCTTTGCTTCACATCCCTTACTGTGTTTTCAGCAGTGGCTTTTATATTTGGTGCTTTCAATATGGTCGTCATTTTTGCATTAGTTTTATTTTCTTATTCCACTTTGTCTTTGAACTCTACAAGCTTCTATTTCATCTCCTTCTGGTGGCTCACCTCATCTTCTTTCTGCTTTTCTATCTCTGCTTTGAGCTCTTATATTGCAGAAGTATTTCCTTGTTACATGTTTTGATGTCATGTCAATATATTTGATCACAGTTTTCAACTGCTCTTCCTGGTCACTGGATTTTGGCTGCTGATTTGTTTTTCTGTCCCTTTCTTGTGTTTTTCTGTTCATATAAATCTTGTACTGATAACTTTTGATAATTGCTCATCTTTGAATGAGGGAGTTCCTGTTGGGCCTACTATTTATAGGAGGTTCAGGAACTGTTCCGGGCCAGCAAGAAACCCCCCTGGTTCACTGTGAAGTTCCTTCTGGCAAAAGGCTGTGGGTGATTGAGTTCTCCTCTTCCTTCTTTTTTTTAAATAGCTTTATTGAGGTATAATTTCCGTACCATTTAATGAGTTCTTTTAATCATTACTTCTCCTTAGCCTGGAGGGATCAGCAGCTGTGGGGTTATTCACCATGTAGAGTGTCTCTCCCCAGCTCTACTCTGTCCAGCAAATAGAGCCTGTCTGTGAGATTCCTTGTTCAACCTCCATTTCTCTCCTCTCCTTGGTACAAATAAGATCCTGGAAGCTCCCTCTCAGTGCGTATACTTCTTCCCTGCTGTTCCGAAGAGTCTATTTGCTCCTGCTTTGCAGACTGCTACACCCTTTGTCTGAGCTCTGTAGGTATTCTGCCTTTCTTGTCTTCTGCACCACTGCTTGACCTTCACCGCACCTGGGAATTCTTGTCTTAGAATTCTTATGTTACGGTTCAAGGTTACAGATAATGTAGATTCTGTTAGGATAGAGTTGGTATTTCTGTTGTTCTTTTCTTTTAGGATGGTTTCTGAAGTTAAAAAAGGGGGGGGGGCTGTAACAGTGTTATCCCACCATCTTAAACCTATAAGTCCTGTAGGTGCATTTTATAGGGAAATTATTTGTAAATAGAATTGGATTTGCCCAACCTTAAATTACCATTATTTCATCAGGTTTCAAGTAATATCAAGGCCTTCACTTACTTCCATTTCAAGTCTCATTCCCATCAGTCCGCACTGATCTTTCTGCCTTGATCTTCAGTAACACATACTGTCTGTGCCAGCGCTCTGCAACAGAACTTTCTGATGGAAATGTTCTGCATTTGCGTTGGTAGCCACTAGCATTACAATGTGAAGTGTGGCTAATGTGACTGAGAAACTGAGTTTTTAGTTTTTAATTAAATTTAATTCATTTAAATTTCAATACCTGTATGTGACTAGTGGCTGTTGAATTGGACAGCACAGCTGTGTACCACTCATTTCAACATTTAACCACATTTTAATCCATTAGCTGTTTACTGAGCACCTTTTATATGCCAGATTGTGCTGCTCTAGATCTGTGGCTTATAGCAGTGGTCAAGACAGATAAGGTCCTTACCTCCCAGGAGGAACCTTGATAGTGAACAATACATAAACCTACTAACTTTAGGGGGTAAGAGTATAGCTCAGTGGTAGATAGCATGCCTCACATGCCTGAGGTCCTGGGTTCAATCCCCAGTACCTCTATTAAAAAAATGAATAAACCTAATTACCTCTCCCCCTCAAAAAAATGAAAAAAATAAATAAAAATTTAAAATAAATAAAAATTAGAAAATGAAATAGCTGGCCAAAACAGTTTAAAAAAATAAACCTGGTAACTTTAGATAATGCTAAGCTCTGTAATGAAAATGAAGTGGGAAAAGAATGGCTTGAGAGGACTACTTTAAGTAGAGCAGGTGTCTCAGAGGATATGCCTTTTAAATTGCTGTTAAACAGTAAGAAGGAAGCCAGCAATGTAAAAAGGCCATGTGAAGCAAGTATCTCCCAAGCATAGGTAGGAAGCTAGGGAGACAATGATCCTGAAGAGAAATAGCCAAGAGTCAGGCTTTTTAAGGAATTTAAATTTGGAGGGGTATAGTGGGGCTTTAGGCAACGGAGGGGCATGATCAGATTCACTTTTTAAAAGATGACTGTAGATACTATTTAGAAATTGGATAAATACATTTTTAACTGCTTAAGGTTTGGTTTTTCTCTTTTTAAAAATACTACTTCCAAAAGAAGTTAATATGTATATACAGCACAAAATTCAAAAGGAAGTCCATCAGTGAGAGTTAAGTTGCCCTCCCTCCCATCTTTCATCCACCCACTTCCCCTCAGGGACCACTGTTAATAGTTTATTTGCTTATGTTTTAATCTTGAAGTCTAGTTTCTGATCTACCATTCTATCTTGTATGATTCTTCAGTGGCTTAATTTGTGTCAACTTAAAATTTTTTTTTTTAATTTTCGGAGGGGGAGGCAATTAGGTTTATTATTTATTTATTTATTTTTCTAACGGAGGTACTGGCGATTGAACTCAGGACCTCGTGCATGTTAAGCACGCACTCTACTGCTGAGCTATTCACCCCGAACCTTAATTTGTATAAATCTTAACTAACAGTGAGACTTTAATTTCCTCAATTGCAGGCACTGTATTATTTACCCTTTTGTTCTGCACTCCTATCTCCCCCACCATAACAGTTAATGTAATCTTTAGGCAGAGTAGGGGTTTATTTATTCAGTAAGGGTGGTGAGAAATGAATAAGATGAATGGATTTCATTCTCTGTCTTTTATAGGAAGAAGTTCTAAAGGACTTTGAAGAATTGGCTGGGAAGCTTCCATGGTCAGACCCTTTAAAAATATGGAAAATTAACACCAGTTTCAAGAAAAAAAAAACAAAGCGCAAAAAGGTAACTCAGAATTCAAGTAAAGAGAAGACTGATAATGGACGAGGAGACAAAACAGATGAGAGAGATGTTAAAAAAGAGTTCACCAGCAATGTCTTAGATTCACAGATCTTAGACTATTATGAGAATCCAGCCATCAAAGAAGAGATATCAACATTAGTAGGTGATGATTTGGCATCTTGCAAAGAGGAGACTGATGAAAGCTCAAGAGAAGAAACTGATCCTGAATTGCTAAAGTTTAGAGTCACATGCAACAGGGCAGGAGAGAAACATTGCTTTTCCTCAAATGAGGCAGCAAGAGATTTTGGGGGTGCTGTTCAAGATTATTTTAAGTGGAAGGCTGACATGACCAACTTTGATGTGGAGGTAAGTGCTGGCTCTGATTGTGATGATTCAAGAAGGCTGTCATAAATCTGCAGAATTTTCAAGACTAACCCAATCCTATGGACAAACTGAGGTCACAAAGCTAATAGAGTATCATTAACAACAGCATGGGCTAAGGAGATGGATCTAGATCCAGATTTTGACTCCCTATTCCCTCTGAGCCTCTGTTTCAAATACAGCCAGTAATAGTTTATGCCTTTAAGTGTGTCCTGAAGGTTGACTGAGATAATACATTTTAAATGTTTGGTGTGATACCTGGTCTATACTATGTGCTCAATAGGTGGGGACTATTAAGACTTGATTTTTCTAATTTCTAGTATAGTGCTTTTTACAACATTATGTGGATTTTCAAGCTATAAAATTCAACAGAATTAAAACTGTTTTGTTTCTTTGTGTCTTGGTTGCAGAGTTTTGCCACTAAAGAGGAGTACCTTTTTGAAAGAAACCTTACCTTCTAAAATCAGGCCATCATTGCAAATACTCATCCTAGAGCCAGCTCTCCTCTTTCTTAGACTCTGCTAGATTTCCAAACCCAGATATGTCTTTTTAGCATGCTTACTCTCCTTGGTCGCAGTCTTCTGCTTTGCGGGTGATTCACATGCAGCCCATACTAACTGGTCTGTCCATCTCTGACAGCTTCAAAGGCCCCTAGCTGCTGACATTTTGATCAAGAAGTCATTTACTGTTGCTTTGGGGACACTTAGATCCGGAGCAAGTCACTTATTCTCTCTGTAACTTTTTAATTTTTTTGGCATATCAAATCAGAAAAACAATTCCCCACTCCTTTTTTTTTCCCTCATAACAGCTGTTATGAGAATGAATAGGCTAACTAGAACAGTGATGTCCAAAAGTTAGCAAGGGGGATCAGAGGACAGACTCCGGAGCTGTACTGCGTGGGTTCCAATCCCAGCTTATGAGCTGTATGACTTCAGACAAGTAGCTGACGTCTTTGGGCTTTAATCTTCTCATCTATAAAAGGAAGATAATAATACCTAGCTCAGAGGGTGTGGATATGAAATGAGGTAATGAATACAAAGTGTGTGGAACAGTGGTTTGTGTATAGCTAAGCAAGTAGTCAGCTGCTGCTGCTGTTAAGATCATGATGAGGAAATTTTAGGTGGAGGAAAGAATATACTTTATTTTTACTTTTATTTTTATTTGAGTAGTTTATATTTAACTATGTGTTAGAAAAACTATAGTTAGGACCAAGAGAAACAAAAAGACATTATTTCACAGACATTACTTCAGTGAGTCAAGTTTTAAAAAGTACTAAGAAAATACTAGGAGACAAAGCAGATGTGGTACAGCATTAACAGCTGGTTAATCTAAGTGAAGGGCATACTTGGGAGTTCCTTGTGCCACTGTTCTTGTTTGCATTTCTATATGTTTGGATTTTTTTCCAAAAAAAATTAATTCAAAAAAATGTGTATTAAAAACCTATGAACCTTCAAAATGTGTTTCTGTTATAAAAATTCAGGGGAAATCTGGTGATAGCTAACTTTTGAATGTGGTGAATTAAAAAGAGAATAAAATAGATTTAAAAATTTTAAAGTAGTATGTGCTATATGATATCATTTATATGAAGTTCAAAAAAATAAAACTAATTTGGTAGTGGTCAGATTAATGATTATTTTGGGTTGGTATTGACTGAGAAGGCTAGAAAAACTGTATATCTTTATCTGGGTGGTGGTTACACAGTGTATGTATAGGTAAAAATTCACTGCGTTGTAAGATTTGTGCCCTTTACTGTATGCAAAGCACACCTTAGTAATAAAGTAAAAAAAGAAAACATTGGTAGAGCCTCAAATTTTAAAATCTTAGTAATAAGTACAGTTTGAACAATCCTAAAACTATTTTATTCTGTTTCATAGGTTCTTTTGAATATCCATGATAATGAAATTGTTGTAGGCATCGCATTGACAGAAGAAAGTCTGCATCGAAGAAACATCACACATTTTGGGCCTACAACTCTTAGATCTACTCTTGCTTATGGGATGCTCAGGTAAGAGAAAGGGTTTGCCCTCTAGATCAAAGTGACACCATGGTTTGAATTTTCCCTTCAGAACAGACTTTAGTTTTTTGTGAGTTACTGTATTGGAATTTAGTGAACAGGATACAAAGCTAAAGATCTCTTTCTTTCCTTTGCCTCTAGTGTTGATTCCTTGTGATCCTGAAAATATCACTTAATTACTATCTCAATTTTCTTGATTTTAAAATGGGAATGATAGTTTTCATCTGCCGCTTAAATGTGGTTGCCACATTTGTTCAGAAAGGATATACTGCATTGCGTGGTGGAGAACAGAACAGATTTGGCTTTGTTTCATCTCTGTGCAGTGAAGCAGATGAAAGCAGAGATTTTTTTTTAATGTGTATCATGTATAAATGGACACAGATAGCTTTTACTCATATTTTAAAATTTTATACTCACAGGAACCCAGGAATCGTCTTGGAATTTCCCACTTTTCCAAGAGCAAGACCTAGCTTTCTTTCTCCTTTGCCCTTTTCCCTTTGATTAGGTGTTTCTTTCCACCATGATGACAAGTTGTCTTCTCTAGTTTCTTTTTCCAGACTGCAAAATGGGTTTGAGGTGAGACTTAAAGGATTATTAGTGAGGAGTAAATGCAGAAACATATGCAATATACCTGTTACATACAGTGCCTGGCATATCCTGGTAGTTAATTGCATTTCCTTTTCTTATAATCTTTGCATCCTCTTTTACCCTGCTTACCCATGGAGGCGCAGTTCAACACATGTGAAACCTGTTAATTCAATGACAATCATAGAAAACTGGGCCCATTTGATGAAGGAAGAGCTCCTAGTCTTCATTCATTTAACAAACATTTATTATCTACTGCCAGGCATTATGGTAGGAGCCAGGAATACGGAGTTATTTTGGGTGCAACTATCAGAACCCTAAGTAAGCTAGTTTAAGATAAAAAAAATTGATGATTGTGTGAGAGGGGGAAATATTGGAAAGATACTGAGAAACCTTGGGGAATCCACAGAAAAACTGAAACCTTTGTCTCAAGAAGGGTAGGAACCAGGTCTTGGAAAAGCACCAGAGGTCTAGACAGTCACTTTTACCTCCTCTGGGAGTCTGTGGGCTCTTGCCTCTGCTCTTCTGTGCAGATGGCTGTCCCTCACCTAAATTTATACACTTGCAATTTCATATAACCAGCCAGCCCCATACCACCTAGGGCTTCTAGCTCTTCATTCCCAAGTCTTGGAAGAGAATCTGACTGACATAGTTTCAGTCGTGTTCACCCAGACCCGGCAGCAATGGCTGGGAGTACAGGATTGCTTACTACCAGGAGGGTTGCCAAGGATCCTGTTGCCCCATGTGTTGAGAGGTAGGAACAAGGAAGTAGGGCTGGACAGGTATTGCAGTATGAACCCAGTGTCAGTCCCTAGGAATCTCAGTTTTGTGAGGGAGATAAACAATTACTTTACATGTGATAAATACCATAATAGAGGAAAGATTAGCAGAACAAAAGAAGGAAAGATAAACCTTGCCACCTGTCTGAGGAGGGGATGCTTCATAGACGAGGTAACATTTAAGTCACTAACAATAATGCTAATCCTGACTCTGTCACCCATTAGCTGTGTGTCCACGGACAGGTTTGGTCAGCTTATCTAAATGAGAATAAAATAGTAAACTATCTCACAAGGTTGTTAAGAGGATTAAAAAAGATAATGCAGGCAAAGAGCTTAAATCCATGCCTGGCAAATACTAAGTGCTCAAAGTAAAGCAGTTATTTTATATCCAGTTTATTATCTTCAAAATTAAATTAGTAAGGAAAGGAATACTGAATTAATAATTGCCAGTAAACTTATACTGATAAATGTTTTGCTTGAAGCACGTTTGAGTTTTTTTTTAATGTAACCACTACAGGTTTATATACAAAATAACTTGTATTTTCTAAAGGTATATATAATCACACACACATATTTTGAAAGATCTAGAAACTAAATTCCATTTGGGAGTGAAATGGGATTTTGGATGATAGTCAAAGGGGACTTTTAGTTACGTGTAATGTTTTGTTTTGTTTTTTTAATTGCCTGGATTTAGAGTCAACATGTAATTACAAATTGATTTTTTAAATAAATATTGATTGGTGTTTCTTCATGACGGCATAACAAGCCTTTAATCTTACAGCTTCAGGAATAGTCATTGTGGAAGTCTTGGCTGTTGAAGTCTGTTCACATAGGCTGTTTTCTTCTCTAGGCTCTGTGCTCCTCAGCCTACTGATATAATAGTTGATCCGATGTGTGGAACCGGGGCGATACCAATCGAGGTAATAACTTTTCTTCAGCTTTTTAGATAAGTAAGTGATAGGTCCAGAATGTTCTAGAACTAATGGGCAGATTAGACATGAAATCACCAAGGTTGGGTCAGTGGACCCACAAGTTTTGAGTGAATTATATTAGTAAAGCTGGAACTTTTGTGATAAGGGTGTAACCACTGATTAAACCACTGATTACAAACAGCCAAGGACTAGATTTAGATTGTTAGTCATGTATATTCAGTGGATTACATGAGAGGCTGAGAATCACAAACTGGTAAGTCCCGTTTCGAAACAGAGAAACTGGTAGAGTTGAACAGAAAAGGTAACTGAAGGCATAGGCATCAACTGGAGAAGTTTCATCCCTGTAAAGTGAAAGTATGCGTCTTAATCCACTTAGCTTCTTGAGGGAGTAAGTATAGTTGGAAGATGGGGAAACCTATGAACATTATTTAGATTTTTTAGGAAGTCTAGCAAAGTTACAAGGTTTTTCGAAAGTATGACATTGAGAGGATTCAAAAACTGCCTAAAGCAAAGCAAGAAATAGAAAGGCATTTTCTAAGTGGAGAACATTTAACAGGAGATTCTCCTTGAATCAGTATTATTCACTCATTATTATCTATACTTTTATAATAAACAATTTAGAAGAGGTCACTCCCACTAAAATTGCTTAAATTTGTGAATACTGTAAGTTCTTACATATAGTATAACTAAAGCCAATGGGAGTCACCACAGATTTTTTTTTTTAATGGAAGTTCTGGGGCTTGAACCCACCACCTCCTGCATGCTAACATGCACTCTACCACCGAGCTGTTCCCCTTCCCCCACCACAGATTCTTTGAGTGAGCAGAAACTGGACAGATGAGCAAGTCCAGAGCAACGCACGAAAGGAAAAATAATCTGCAGTGCAATTAGAAAATGACATCTGTTATCTGGGAATTAAAACCCCAGAAGGAAATCATAGTACTCTGGATGACCACTCTTTTCTCTTACTGCCAGCTAGAGAAATGTACTCTGGCTAAAGAGCCACACAGAGAAAACTCAGTTGTTGTCAAGAAGAATTCTGGCAACAAAGCAAAGAGTGTTCTCTAGCATTAACTCACGACGTGTCTATGTCTAGAATGGCAGGGAGGGTCACTGCATGTCAAGAAACATACAACAGAGCTAGAGAGAGTCCAGAAGAGCTCCTAACAACAACAACAACAATGACAACAAAAGATAAAAAAGACAGTGTCTGAGAGTTTGGCGTTTTCTTGGGCATGAGCCATCCCATCCTCTTTGCTCAGCCCTGCAATAAACCTTTCTCTGCTCCAAAAAAAAAAAGACAATGTTTGAGACATTTCTATGTAGGGGTAGACATGAGGATGTCAATATAGAAAAACCTAAGTTGATATATGATTGAAATGAATGAAACTATGAAAGGAATTGATGATATAGATATAGATTTGTTCCCCAAAGTATAAAGGACTTGATTTAGAATACTCCCTTTAAAACTTGGAAGTTCTACAAAACCCACCTCCTTCAGGGGCTGAAAATCTAAATATGTTTAGAAGAAAAAAAATGAAGTTTGGGGAATCGGAATCATCTGCAAGGCTTACATTAAATTCTGCATCATCCCCTCTCCATCACCCTCAAGGTTCTGGGCAAAAGAAATTACAAAATCTGAAGAATATGATCATTCAAAAGCCTATAGAATGGGGATTGTATTTTATTTTGAATTCTCAAATATTCCAATTTATCAGATTATGAAATCCAATAATCACAAAAGGGCAGAGGTTAGTCACTTTGATTTGGTGAAGTTTTCCAAACTACATTTGTATTTAAGGTCTGTGATGCTTACTGTGTGCCAGACACTTCTGGGTGAGGGAGTGAACAAAATGCCAGGAGTACTTAAGGAGTTCCCAGATTCGTTGAGCGGCAGACAGGTATAGAAATAATTAAAAAGAAAATTAAGTGGCAGATACACATACAAAGTGCTTTTGGAGGGGCAAGTGAGAGACAGCTTGGAGAGTTGGGGTTGATGTCACAGAGGGCGTGACATTTGAGCTCGATCTTGAAAAAATGAGTAAGAGTTCAACAAAGAAAGAACAGGAGGGCATTTCAAGCAAAATTGACAACATGCAGTGTTTTGCCACTTCAGAAAAGCATTGGATTATTGGGTTGGATTGTCTTGTTTATTGACAAGTGATTGAAATAATTTTACTTTTAATCAGTCTTCTTTTGGCAGTTTGCTACTTCTGTTTTAATACATACTCTTGTCTTTTAGGGTGCTACAGAGTGGTCTAACTGTTACCATATTGCTGGTGATAATAATCCATTGGCTGTGAATAGAGCAGCAAACAACATCTCATCTTTATTGACCAAGAGCCAAGTTAAAGAAGGGTAAAAAATTTTACTTAAAAGTTTTGCAGCATCTTTTAGACTTAGATAATCACTTTTCATATTAACTTTATGAATTAATACACACAGTGCATCGTGACATCGTTATAGCCAAAATGAATATATTGTGACTCCATTTAAAATTTAACTTGATTGAAGATAATTTATATTTTAAAAATACTTTTAATTCAACTATAATTTCCTCCACCCTAATGCATCTATTTTTTTCTTTTTTTTTGCATCTATTTTTATTTGTCTTTTTCTTCCCTTATTCATATATCTTTTTTCCCACATACTGTTAAAATGTATATTCATTTTAATTTCGTAAATTTTCAAACACTTTTTGTTTTTTAATAACTGCAGAATATTCTATCGTATAGAAATACTATAGTTTATTTAGCCTTTCCTCTGTTATTTAGCACTTAAAAAAAAAAACCTCAAGAGTTGGAAGAGACCTGAAAGCCATCCCCACAGTGCTTAAATGTCCTGTAGGAGATCCTGACCAATGGCCTTCCAGCCTGTATAAACACCTCTAATGACTCTACCTCCAAAGGCTATTGATTCCACTTTGCACAGTTTTGAGTGCTGGTTATATATTTTAGGGAACTTAATATCTCCTTGTTCCTTCTACAGATGTGGTCTTTTTTTCTCCCACTTGGGTCTCCCACTTGAAAAATCTTACCTCTGAGTCACAATGATGATTGACATCGGATATTTGAAGGGCTACCCCCCCACACACACTACCAACATCCCACCTTTCCAGGTCTTCTCTTCTCCAAGCAGACTTTCCCAAGGTCCTACAACTGTATCCCTTTGATATCTGTGCACTGAAAACCTGTTACCCTCTGGGAAATTTTTTTTCCATCCAAGATATACTTTGTTAAAATAAGCCCTAGCCCACTGCTACAAATGACAGTTGACGACACCATCTGTGCCAGCCTTTCACCATTCTTTCAAAGTCTCAGCTGTCTTTGGGAAGAATTGGCTGCAATGTCACTTGGCCTACAGTTTCCTACCAGAGGTCTCATGAAATTGTTTCTCTGGTCTCCTCTTATAAAGTGACAGGAATATGCTATTTGCTAGGTTTTACAGGTGCTCCACATCCAGCAGCCCAGGAAGTCATTATATCCCATGATTGGCCGTACACCTACCTTCATAACCCCTAGTGTGAGGTTTATGTTTTTAAAAAATATTTGTTGTATACAAATATTCATATTTATTATTTATACATGATATGCCTTAATACTATTTTATGTCTGTATATTGGTTATCCTCTTTTCTTTGCTAATTTTGGTTTTTCCCTTTTTTGATTAGAATCGCCAGTGCTTTGTTTTGTTCTCTCATATACAATTTGTTCTATGGTTTATGCTCGATGCTTTTTTTTTCATTCCTATTTTCTATTGAGGTTTTAAATTTGTTTTCTAAAAATCTTAAGTTACATGCTGCAAATGTCTTCTTTTCAATAATAAAAGTTTTTATTAGAGTTGACTTTTATGCTAAGTACTCCTGTTGACCATATCCTATAGATTTTGACAAGTTCTCTATTTTGGTTACTTTCTAAATAGTTGGTTATATACTTGATTGTCTCTCTGATCTAGTTCAGGACAGTGCTTTTCAAACTTTAATATGTAAATGAGTCACCTGGGGAACCTGTTAACTACGCATAGATTCTGATTCAGTAGGTTTAGGACGGGCCCTGCCAGGCTGCAGGTCCTGGCAGGCTTCCAGGTGGTGTTGACGCTGCTGGTCTCTGGCCCAGCTTTGAGGACCAAGGGTTTAGATCATTTTTTGTATATAACTAGTTGAAAGCTTTTATTTTTATATTTATTTACATCTTATTGTGATGAATGAATTTTCATGGTATATTTTGTTTCATATTTATTGAGATTTTCTTGAGGCTTAGTACAAGACCAGGGTTTTTTTGAAACCTGATATTTTTAAACAGATTTCTTTTGTTTTCTGAGTATCTTATTTTTCACATCATCTGCACCTTCACTTTTCGTCTGTTCAACCTGTACTATCAATCTTACCTTGATTTTTAATATCTTTTGGCTTTTTTTGTGTTATTGCAGCCATTGCTGCCTGTGATTGTAATAATCATATTTTTGGTATCTGTTCTTTTTCCTATTGTGTAGTCATTGACTTTATTGCATTTCATTTTTTCTTCTTTATTAAATATCAATATTACAGCACTTAATTTCTGCTTAGTCTTTGATTTGCCTTTAATTCTTAGCCTGTGCATTATTGCCTGTTTCTTAAACCAGTAGCTTTGCCTAAATGGGGAGGATTTAAAACATTTACATTTATTATTCATTCTGTCTTATGTCATCCATTTTCTAAAATCTTTTTTTCTTTGCCATCTTGTTTTTTTTTATAGTATGGTACATGCTTTTTAATCTTAAGACCAATACCTGTATGTTTCTTTCTTTAGGTCCCCTGTTATTACCATGTAGACTCACCGGACTTTATTCTTCAGATGTGTTACTCCATCATTTAGTGTTTTTTTTTTTCCAGTGTATGTTTCCAGTGTATGTTTTACATCATCAGTAACTAACTGCCTCAACACTGTTTTCAAAGTTGTCTGTTTAAGTTCTTTTCACAATGTTTTCCCCTTAATCTGTTTTTCTTAAATTGTAGGTGAAACAGACATCTTTTGAAAAAAATCTTAACCATTTTCAAAATTTGTCATTACAGATTTTGTCATTATTAAAGTTTTATCTTATGACCTGTGCTTTCTGCCTGCATTGCTACTTTAAAATTTTCTTCTCATTGAGTTGTTGTTGATGTTATCATTTTAGTAGGTTTTTGTATTTTACAGCAGTCTCTTTAGGAAAAAGTTTTTTTTTTATTTCATTCTTCAGGATATACTGAGCACCCTTCCTTTGTCCCCACAGCAAACTGTCCTGGGGTTTGCCCATAGATACTGTTCAGTGGGATATCTGCAACCTGCCATTAAGAACTGGCTCTGTGGACATTATTGTAACAGACATGCCATTTGGTAAAAGGTGGGACTTGGTTGTTTTTCTTTTTAAATGAGTTTTTCCTTTTCTTGTTTAGTACCCACTTGTCTTCTAAATCTGTTGTATTTCCTTTGAGCTTATTCTGTCAGAAATCTTCAATTTCTTTTAGCAGACGTAGCAGTTTTTCAGTGAAAAAATGTAATAATATGGTAGATTCACCCATTTTATTTTTTCTGAGAACTCAGGAACGTATTCACTTTATTTTGATCCTGACCACTGGAGGTTCATCCACTTTCTGGCCCATTGTTGAATTAAGTACTTCAGAGAAAGGTTAAGGAAAACTCAGCTGTTTCTCAGGAAAAATGTTTTTTAATCACTTGTTTGGTTTATACAATTTGACTGCTTATTCTCATTAAAAGGACAACTTAAGTAACTATTACAGTTGTCAAAATTTTTTTCCCATAACCAGTTCATCCCCTTCAACATTCTGAGCTGTTTAGTAAATCTGATCACTCATTTTGTTGACATGTAATGGCAAAACTCTGGCTTCTAAAAGGCAGCTATTTTTCATACCTCGGGATTTTCTTATTGCATTAGAATGTTTTTAATAACTTCCCATTTCATACAGTCCTAGATACTTATCTTTTGTAATAGTTAAGTGACTCATCAGACCTTCTTTTATAGGATGGGCTCCAAGAAGAGAAACTGGAACCTTTATCCAGCTTGCCTCCGGGAGATGAGCCGTGTCTGTAGACCGGGGACAGGCCGAGCTGTTCTTCTTACTCAGGACAAGAAATGCTTTATCAAGGTGTTGTACATTGGCTCAAAAACCCAGCCTGTGGCAATTTTTTAGATCTTTTTAAGTAGACTTGAGGGTATTTTCTCTTCTTCTAGTGTTTCTTACTGGCAACAAAGACCCCTGGTTGGTCTAGCAGTAGCTGTCAGCTAATTACCTTTATGCTTTTTGTGTGCACACAGGCATTATCCAGAATGGGACATGTATGGCGGAAGGTGCATACTGTCTGGGTGAACATAGGGGGCCTTCATGCTGCAGTCTACCTTCTGAAACGTACGCCTCAACCTTTTGTTCATCCTTCAGAACAAGATGGAGAAAGATCTCCTTGGTAATGCAAAGAATGAAGATGATTAATAGTATTTGTGCTTCCTAACACTGGAAATGTCAACATGAAGAACTTGCTTTGAAGGAAAAATAGTATTAATAAAAGTGGTTTGGTTTAAAGCTCTTCACCCTAGTTAGAGAAAGGTGTGAATGGAATGGAATAAGTCTTCTGGGAAAGCAGAGTTTTTTTTTTCAGAGCTGTTTTGAAGTAGTTGGGCAATTACTCCTTTTCTTAAAATGCTTTAAAAATGCTAAGCCTCCTGCAGTGCTCTGGGATTTGGGTTTAGAACATCTTATTTTCAGGCTTTACTGCAGTTCCTGTGTTCCACAGAAGCAGGTGGAAAGTTACCTTGACCTGACAGAAGGCAGAGAACACAATGAGAGCATGAGGTTACATGCCACTGCCTGTGCAGCTTTGCTGTTTAGTTGCTAAGTTCTTTACCTCAACTTTAAACAATGAAGCATTGTTACACTTTGTAAAATACTGTTTGTCCCATGACAAGATGAAATCTCACAAGGCCTACAGGGAAGTTTACCATCTGCCTTAAAACTTATAATATGCATGTTATTCAGATTAATACAGAGAACTAAAGACACTTCTATTTGTAAATAGCAGCAAATACACTGGTAGATGAAGCATGGAACTAACAAGCCAAATTTAAAGAAATTTTATTTTTCTTTCAGTACACAAAGGTGATGATGCAAGTCAAACATAAACCCATCAAAGTATTTTTGTTGGTTTCTAAAAGGACTAGAGAACAAACTGATGTATCTTTAAATTAAAAACTTCATGTAAGTTCTTTTGTTATCTTCTCTGAGTCACTTTTCATATTTAGTTGCTTTTCCGGGTGCAGAAAGTCCCTCCCAAAAACAGGAAAATGAAATAACCTAAACATTAAGTCCTTGTGAAAACAGTGCTTCTCTGGGACAAAGAGTAGCTGGGGTTTTATGTGGAATTCTGTACAGTATTCAGTTTATTTTGGAGTTTCTCGCTGCATTCAGCCTAGATTTTTCAGTGTCATGTTAGTAATAGAATAGTGCTATTCATACTAACTTTTGATGTCTCATTTAGAATAAAAGGACATGGTACTTCTTTCCTTTGGAAGAAGAGTTCACAGTTGCAGCAGAGCCAACAGTCCTACTCTGCTTTCTCTGATATACCACCTCACACTTGAGAAGGAATTAGAAATAAGACATTTTTAAGGGAGTTTTTAACCATCATCAGAATGCAGTTGCATTAGTGTGGGTTCAACATAAAACCACCTTTCACCTGTGACCTCTAAATAAGTGTTGGTCAGCAATCCGCAGAACTGGAAAAATACAGGAACCATGACTGTTTTCACCACTGCTTTCCAAGTGCCTAACATGACACAGCACCTGCCAATTTGGACATTTATTTGTTGAACAAATGGATATTTTTGCATATTGGCTATTTTTAAGTATATCAAATTGTGCTTGATCCATCAGTTTGAGCCCTATTAAAAACCACCATAAAAATGTGAACAGACTGATTTAGATGATATAGCAGGCATTGTTTGCAATCGTTTACCGTCTTCCTCCTTAGTATTGTTCAGTAATCTGGTGACAGGAACAGGAAATGAAGTTGAGATGAAGGTTCATAAAAGCTGAGATTGAGTTATATATGACACTACCACCTACTCGTTGTGTGATGTTGGCTTTTAACTTTTGAAGTGGGCCTCCTGCACCATGGGAATGTAAAAAGATGGAGAAGGTAATCTCTAATATTCTGAACACAAGATGACTGAGTTATGGACCAGACATTCAGTATATTTTAGAGGGGAAAAAAACATTGAAACAGATTTTATAAGTTTAATCAAAGCAAAGGAAGATAGTTATCTTCCAGAGAATGACAATGTACTAGTGACAAGAGAGGGAAACACTTGTTTAAACATTTCTTTTAAAATGGTACTAAGACTTTCAGAAAACTTTAGATTCTGACATATCAGTGGCAAATCAGTTGGTTGAGATATGGTACTTACATGCAATTTTTTTGTAATTATTTATTGGTCATATGGAAAATATTGGTTCACTTAGTTATGTAAGTCTTCCAAATATTGGCCTAGCTCATTACATAATATCTAAAAAATCATACTAATATTCCCACCTCTCATTAAAAACACTAAGTACTGGGAAGATGTCCAGCTCCTGAGGGTAGATAGCAGTTTTTCCAAAATTCTCATTTTCACTTCCACGTCTGAATTTTATCATTGACAACAACTGCTGTCAGTTGTTTTCCTTTAAAGAATCACTTCCTTCATTATTTGAAAAAATGTCTGCCAAATAGCCAACTCTGACAACCAAAATTTGATATTCTTTCAAGTAAAATCGGTGTTCCAAGAAAACAGGAGCTAATTCAGCTTGCAACTCAATTGCATGAGTGTTCGTTCTTGAGACAACCACTGTACTTCAGCATGTAGCTGAACAACCGGACACAAACTTTCCATTTCATCACTGTATCAGTTATATAATCAGGGTCCAGATTTAATGAAATAATTTACTTATTTATTTTTTTACTGTTTTCACAAGGACATTCTTAAGTGAGAATGTCACCCCTTACACTGCAAATGACTGCTACAGGTTCGTGCCACTGTGCCAAATGCTGGCAGTTTTACCCACCTTTGCTTTTCACCATTAGTGAAAATGTCAGGATAAACCATAAGATTTTAAAGATGCTGACTGGGGACATGTGTCTGTTACACTTTCACACAGGACAGTCTCTGACTAGTTGATGCTGATGGCAGACAGCTAACAGCAAAATAACAAGCCCAGCCACGTCTGTAGATTCATCTATTTTAAGGCGTTAAGTACACTTCTACTGGTGAGATACAGACTTCATGTCTGTGCACAAATCTTAATGTGACAGTTACTGTATTGTTAAAAAGAGGCACTACCATGATTGTTTACTTCTCATCCCACAGACATTCAGCAGCATCAACTGCGTATGGCTTTTTATGAAGTGTATCGGCTATTGTGTGTGTTCCACCAGCCAGTGTCACACAGTCTAACTTATCCTTTAAGATACTTCAGTAGGTTGTATTGTAGTTTCTTTGGAGAGGATTCTTCCAATGCATTATACAACTGTGATATATTAATTTCATACTTCTAACATTTTTAGACACAGATGAGGTGTAGTTGTGGGTTGAACATGTAGTCTTCCAATCTTTTTTAAGCCAATGATCCATTCTTAAATAAGAAAACTGTAAGTTGGTTTATTTTCAACATAGCTATTGATTTTGGAGGTACAACCTAAACAGTGAGTTAATTTCTAAAGACACAATATTCATACCCTAAACCTATTAGGAAATTCTGGAAAACTCAAGAATATACAGCACCACTAACATCAGTGATGATGTCATCACACATCACGTAGCCTCTAAACACCTGTGAGAATGAGTTGAAAAGGTAAATTACATCTGAGTATTATTAAGTTTTGACCCTGTGCTTAGGCAACAGGGATACAGCCCAAAACAAGCAATGTCATTCCCTCAAGGAGCCACCTTAAAAAAGCAGGAAAAAAAAACCCCAATTACTAATTACAATTGTGAGAAGTGCTATGACATAATTCAAGTCGGGAACACAATATAGGGGAGTTAAGAACGTCAAGGAAGTCTTCCTTGAGAAGTGATGTGTTGAGACCATTCTTTTCAGTGACTGACATCCAGTCAGTTATTGAGTCCTTTAACTTCCTTTCCATTTTGATTGCTGTCACTATCTCAGACCCCATCACTTCTGGTCTGGACTATCACACAAGAACCTAAGTGATCTCCTTTCAACCCCACAACCCACCTTGTGTGCAAACAGATAAATTTCCTGAAGACTGTGTCATTAGAGAAAGACAGTACCCTAAACTGGTAAGGAATACTGACTAAGCAAGTCAGGCCAGAATTTGAATCCCTGACCCTTAATTAGTTGGTGTGTCCACAGGGAAGTTGTTTAACTTTACTGAGCTTTAGGTTCCTACTCTGTAAGATGAGGTTTTATGTGTCTAAACCACACTGAATAATACACTAGCAGAGTTTAGCACACTATCTGGTACACAACTGGCACTCAGTGAATATTATTAGTTCATTTCTTCTAACCTATGTTTCCATTAGCTTTTGCCTACAGTATACACTAGAATAGGTTGCCATTACTTATTACAGTAAGAAGTCTGGGATGAGATTTTAACCAAAGGTCAGTAAAAAAGTCTGTAAAGAGTGTTGACCAAATTGACAAGGATTCAGACACTAGAGATGGGCTTAGTTAACTGGTTAAATGGGTCTATAAATGTGAACTGAAAATGTGTTACTGTTGTCAGCAGGAAGAACCAATCTTAAACATGGTTTTTAAAAAAACCTAAAAAGAACGAGAAAATAAAGGGTGATTACCAGTACAAACTAAAGGTTAGTAATGACTGTGACCTTCAGGGAGCAAAGCTGGAAAGTAGGATTAAATGTAACCATGACTTTGAGATACAATCAGAGAGGCAGAAGGAGTCTCTCTAGTCACCAGGAAGGTATACAGCATGTATCCCAGGAATAAGTCATCAAGTTCAGCTCTGGCCTAGATCAAACAAACCCAAGTATTTTATTTCATGCTTTTAACAGTTCTCTAATAATCCAGTTTCTCACCCACTCCATCAAGACTGGAAAGTCATGGCTAAGAAAAAAAGTCTTCTGGAGAAATATGTCCTCCACTATAAAGTAGGATGCTGCTAGGGAACAAAATAAGAATTCTCAGCCTGCAAAGTCAAGTACCAAGATTCCTGGATATGTGACCTCACAAGGTACTCTACAATTAAGACCGGCCTGAAATTGATAAGATAGTCTTACTCTTGTGACACTGATCCCTATCATATTCTGGATTAAGTTACAAACCATAATTATACCAAATTTCTTCCACATATTAAAAAATATGAGAAACATGTAGCTCCAATTTTGCAAATCTTAAAAAATAAACAAATAAAAGCCCTTACAAAACCTTCAACCCTGTCATGCAAGTACAAGTGTTCACTCTAATTTTTGTCCTAGGAGTATAAGAAATAATATGACTCCACTTCAAAAGGTTAGGTAGCCAGTTTATTTTCAAAATTGTAATAAAGTCTACGGAAGTAAAACACAGGAAGAGGATAAGTGCAGTGGTTTGTACAGGAAACCCAAGGAAGAGCTGAATGGTGGACAGATGTATTCAGAGACCATGAGGCCATGAATAGGACATTAGGTGACTTGGTTTAAATATGATCCTAAAGTTTTTCCATAAAAGGAACCTTGTTTCTGTGGACTTAAACTATTATCTGAAAACCAAGTTCACACATACATTAATAAAATCAACATTTACTGAGTATCCAGCTCTGTGTTCAGGCAAGGGGGAATGAAAACCAAATCCATTATCCTTGAGGAATGCATTTAGTGGGAAAAAGACAAAAAAGGGAACATTCTTGCTCAAAAACATTTACTTGCAATATTTTAACAATCTTTTAAAAACAAAACAATCTGACCTACAAGTTTCCAAGACTATAAAATATTACTATTTTTTTGCCTTTCAAAATGTTTCCCCATTCAAGTTTTTTGGTGGAAAAAATTAGGGACAAAGTAGAGGGAACATACAGTTTCCATGAAGGTGTAATCATTTCTGTCAGACAGGCATACTGTAGCCCCAGGGCTATATCTGCAGTGTGATTTCTGGGCCACCAACATAAGAAGCATACAAGGAACTTGAAAAAGTCACAGAATTCTAGTGCCTCCTGCACCATCTTAACTGAATTCAGAATTTCTGGGTGTGCAACTGGAAATATGCATTAAATAGCAAGCCAATTGTGTGCAGTTAAATCTCATTTTTAGGAGAAATTTTAAGTAAAAAAAAAATTCTCTTTAAAAAATAAATTGAAATTTATAAGATGCTATCCATATTAGCACATAAATCAAAAAGCATTTTGGTGTTAAAATATCTTAATTTATACTTCATCAGGGTGAAAACTTACTCTGTGATGGTTTCCCATAACTTAAGATATGATACTTAGGGCCTCTTCTGATGGAAGTTTTTCCAAAATTGAAAACCTGTATAACTGAAATTTAGGGCTAGTTTCATTAACATCAACTATAGTCCTAGTCCTCACCAAACTTTTGTCACCAACTGAAATCCCACTTCCCTAAAATATATTATGCATTCTTTTTTGAAATCCAAACTAGTCAACACTTGCTTTCTCAACACACTGTTGTCCAAGGCAGGTTTATCTTTAGGAATGGTTAGATTTAGCTTTCAGCTGAAGTATAGAAATAATTATTTAAAAAAAAAAAAAGCCAAAAGCCTCTAAACGAGCCAGAGAGGTTCAACATCTATTTCCTTACTGCTCGTGATGATGAGAAAATTATCAATGTCCATATTAGGCATTTTGCAATCCACAACACAAGATTGTGGCTATAGCCACATCATCCACAGTGGCAATTTAAATTCAAATTACATAAAATTTAATCTCAGTTCTTTAGTTACAACAGCCACACTTCCAGTGCTCAGGAGTAATAGATGGTTAGTGGCCACCATATTGGTCAGTGCAGCTACAGAACATTTCCATCACTGCAGAAGGTTCCATTGGACAGTGTTAAACCACAGCACTAGCAAACATACAAAAAACTGAGAGACCAATCTATCAAACCCTATAAAGACATCTACATGTCGCTTCCTCCATTTTATTTACAATTGGCTAGACATGAAGGAATATACTACGAGCTTTGGTACAAGACTCAACAGGAGCCTGTGCCCTAAAGAAGCTCAGAATAGTTAAGAGGATTTAAACAAGCAATGACAACGACCGGAAAAGTGCTATGATTCAGCCTGCTATGGGAGCAGGAGAAAGTAACACTAACTTGTTTAAAAGGGAGTCTGGCTTAAAGGACAACAGATCACAGAAGGCACCATCACAGGGGAGATATTTGAATCTTGATAGTCTTTACTTGAAGGGTGAAGACTATCAAGGGTAGCATTCCAGAAGGAACCACCCTACAGTAAGGTCTGATAATGTCATTATGCTTTGGGCAAACAGCAATCAATTCCCTGTGACTTGAGGTAGAATAGTAGTGTTTGTGGGTTTATGTGGAAAATTGTGGCAAATGAAAAAGCTGTTAAGAAAAGATGAGGTCAGGCCACTGAGGGACCTTGTATATCACATTCCTGCTGATGGAACTCATCCGGTAAGTAGTTAGGAACCAGTATAGGAGCTGCATCAGTTGTTTTCCCACTCTAACTGTATGCTAGGACAACTGTCCTGGCAATACATACAATGTAGCAGACCGAGACATTGGTTGTAGGCTATTAGCAGCTTGGCTACTGAACTCAGTTACTAAGTGATGAAAATGGTAACAGAGAGATTGAAAAGTATTCAAAGAATTTAAAAGGGAGATGTTGCTGAACCTCACGTCCAGGTCTCAGTAAAGCAGTAGTCAAGATCATCTGGGCTGTGAAGAGGGTGAGTAGAATCCCAGTTGAGGGTAAAGAAGAAAATGAAAAATCAAGGTAAACACTAAAGAACATCCGTAAAAGAACAATAAACATTGCTGGGCAGGACTGAGGCCTCTGCTCTACTTGGGTAACCTTAATTGGTTGTGGAACCTGTCTGGTTTCATGACTCACCGGGCTACCAAAACAGGAGAGGAGAAAGCCAGTATGTCTGGGGACTAGACGAGTGAGTACAACAAACAGAAAATTGGCTGAAAGTATGAGTGAGAGTTGCTAAAATGCCTGAACCTAGGGATGCAAGGGTGGGGGCCTAAATGTTAAGAACAAGATTTCATCTGAGATGCTGTACTTCGGCGATGTAGCCAAGGTCTCAAATAGGGTGAGTATAAAACCCAAGTGATCATGCCTTTAATGTACCTCCCTTTATCCCTATGAAAAATGCGACAAAAGAACCTTAAGTACTAATAGCACGCAGTCTCACTGCATAAAATCGGCCCCAGGTGATTCCTGGACTCCATTTCCCTCCTCTACCCCTATTATAATTACTTTGTGACACAAACTCAAGTCTGTGGCTAGATAGAGAAATTGGACTCGTCCTCATTTTTACACCAGCTCAATCCCCTGCAGGACAACGCCCAGGAATCAGGTTAAGCCCGGGCAAAAGAATC